CTGATTACTGGCTACTGAACTGGACAGATAAAAAGACAAACACACAATAAGATGATGTTAAAAGGCACAAATTGGTGTGCAAAAATATCACTTTTCAACGCAGACACTGCTGACGATCATATGGCAGTGTGTCGATTAGCCTGAAAGTATAAATAAACTAAAACTTGATGTCTTACTGACACCTGTCGTTTATAAATTATATTGTAACATAAACCTAGCCCCCTTGTTTCCCTTGACAAAACCATTATCTCGAAAGCGTTTGAAAGACTCTCTTACAAACGGTGCCAGGCAAATTGTCAGTGCACAAAGTACATAAAACCGGAAGTAAAAGTTTTTTTTCTCTAAATACATGTACGTCACAAATCGCATGGTTTTGTCATCATTAAAATTAATATAATTATTCTGTTAAATCTATGGTCGATACAAGGACCTTGTTAGCAAATAAAATTATTCATTGTCAGGCAAATACCGAATGACGTTTTTCATACTTTAGTTATTGTTAAGCCATTTTTACGAAAATTGTCGACAGATTTTGCCGTTATTTCCCGATCATGACAAGAAGCACATGATGGTGTGACCCGTCGGCAGGGGAATGTTTCTTTCATGGAACCAGATCCTTCCTCTGATGTTTTGTAGGTGTGTGTAAACTGTGCTCCAAATTTGCTTGTTATCTCCATATATTCCAAATACTTCCTTATTTAACTGTTGAACAGATAAGCCTTTTCACGTTAACTGCGGTCCTGTTTTTAGCGCATGCGTATAAACGCTTCCGGACGGCAACAAAACATCCGCATTCCAAGGTTGTTTACAATAACAACGTAATGGTCTTTCACTGCGTTGTTTACCAGTGTTCTAATCGCCAAGGCGAGAAAGCAAAGGGCAAGGGCATAAGTTTTTTTCAGATTTCAAAAAGGCAGTAAGAAGAGAAAGGCATGGATTCGTGCGATTAACAGAGATGACTGGGCACCGAACGAATATAGTCGAATCTGCTCTGAACATTTCGTAGGGGGGTGGCACAGCGACGAGGTGGAGGATGAGAACTATAGACCTACAATTTTCACCTACAAAGAAAAACCGCAAACTGACTCTGACGTAGCTAGGGAAGAGAGAAAATGCAGAAGAAATTTGCAGCAGGTAGCTTAATATAAGCATATAAATAAACACACTATGTATATAGTTATAGTCATCTTCGTAAGAAAAATGCATTATTATAATCATGATTATATGCCTTCGTTTTTAGCTAGGTCTCTTTACCTATTACTATAAAATTTAATAGAAAAAATATTAACCTATTCACATTTTTAACCCGACCCATAAAATGAATTAAGCCCTAGCTATATATAGATTAAGTAAAATTCTATATTAAATACTCATAAATACCAATACCAATTCCTTACATTTAAAACATATGACAATTAATTCTGGAGGATTTTTTTTTTATGACACTGTCAATGTTTGAATTTTAAAAAATGATTGACAACATGTATTAAAGTTTGAAATAATTTGCACCATTTTATTACCTTGAAACTTCAAATTGTAGGAAATTAATGAAGCAGAAGCTAGGGACAGACGTTTAATGCAGCGGCACCATGAATTTAGCTTATACACCCACAGCTATTGCTGTTTGCAACCCCCAGATTCAGACTCTCAGGATATGAACAACAACAGCACCTTCGTACCAGATGAGACATTGAAATTAGATGACATTGACATAAAAACCTTTAATGATAAAGGTATATATACATGTATAAGACAAGGAATATCTGTAATGTGAAACATATATATATATATATATATATGCAATATTTACCTGTCTTCAGCAGGAAAAAAAGTAACACCTCTCTCAATTTTTTTTTTCTTTTCAAAACAAAATTTATAGGTGTACAATGTGACCCTGACCCTCTACTGGAGGAGAACCTTGCCCTGAGGAAAGAGTTGGAGGACCTCAAGGGAGAACGTGATCGGCACAAATGGAGTGCAGAGAAGATAGCCAATGATGATGGAAAGACCAAGTATTACACTGGGCTACCTTCCTTTGCAGTGTTCACCTGGCTTTTCAAGTATGTAGGATGGAATTTCAAAAGCATTTTGGGAAAAAAGAAAACAGTACCCGTAAATCTGGAAATTTTTGCTGTAGATAAATTTTTAGCAAATTTGTGCATTCATTGCATTCGCAAAAATATTTTTCTTATAAATAATTTACCAGTAAGAAAATGTAAACAAAGCAGTGGTATTTCGCAGAATTTTGAAACGTAAAAATTAATCAACACCATTTTGACCCGAATTCGCAAAATAAAATCGAGTTAATCGGCGTAAAAATTTCCAGATTTAAGGTATTTGTTTACCTCTTCTCCAAATCTCACATCTGCATCACAATAAATTCTATTTCAATATTGTAACTCTGACGATAATAATTTTTTAATGATAGTTTCCTGAGACCTAAGGCAGAGAGAATGAGGTATTGGGTTGGTTCCAACACAGACCAGGATTCAGACAGACAGAGAGTATCAACAGGCTCATTGGGATTGATCGACCAGTTATTTGCTGTACTCATCAGATTAAGACTCGGACTCTTCACATCAGACTTAGCTTACAGATTTTGTATTTCAGAGAGTACTTTTTCGAAATACTTTTCCACCTGGATTTCTTTACTCTCCTGTGAACTTAAGTCTCTCAATCCATTTCCGACTCGAGATATTATTGATAGAACCATGCCATTATCTTTCAAAGCTAAGTATTCTTCTGATAGAGTTATACTTGACTGTACAGAGCTTTTTATACAGAGGTCTTCAAATCTTGAAAATCAGAGTTTAACATATTCTAACTATAAACACCATACAACTGTGAAGTTTCTTGTTGGTATTACACCATCAGGTGTTATTTCTTTTGTTTCTGTAGGCTGGCCAGGTAAGATATCAGACAGAGAACTGACAATGAATTCAGGTATCTTAGATTTATTAGATGAAAATGACAGTGTCATGGCTGACAAAGGCTTTACAATAAGAGATCTGTTGGAAAAAAAGAAATGTAAATTGAACATTCCCCAATTTAGAGGTGTTAGTCCACAGTTTTCACCAGATGAGGTATTTGAAACACAGGAGATAGCTTCTTTAAGAATTCATGTGGAGAGGAGTATAGGTAGAGTGAAAAATTTTCACATTTTAGATGGTGTTATGCCTCTAACCTTGAAACCACTTATCACCAAGATTTTTCAGGTCATTTGTTGGCTTACAAATCTGGATGTTCCACTCGTTAATAATTAATATTTGTACATGTATTTATTCCTAATATACATTATAGTGCAACACATTTCAAAATTGATTATTGTGAGTTATCAATTTCAATACATGTTTAAACTAGATATTTTTCTTACATGCAAATACCGGGTATTATATTCTCAGCTTATTTGAGGTCTTATAATTTGAATGGAAAAAAAACTTAATTTTACTAGAAGAACTTTGATGTGAATTCCTGTTCTACAGTGTATTAAAGAATGAAGGAGTAATTAAAAAGATATTAAATTAAAATTAAGAATAGTACATACAAATAACAAATAGAGGTTAGCTGATATTGTGATCAAATTAATATTTCAAGGTATTTGATATTTTATTATTTTACCATCATACCAATGTTGAATACGAACATTTTTTTGCAACTCTTTATAAACAACTTTGAAGTGAATATTGTAAACTTTTTTTAGATAAGGCATTTATATCTTATAAAATTCTTAATCCAACAGATGTTAAACCAACAAGAAATATTTGTAACTTCATATGTCATGCATCTAACATAAGACAGTGACTAGATTTGAATACTTTATTTGAATATGTATGACTCTTGCCACATGTGGGTTTTTTGGTCAATAAATAAATTAAGTTAATTAAATTTTTCATTTAGCTCATTTCATGGAAAACAAATAATGAAATTTTTTGAATATATGATTCATATCATTTCATACAGTGTTTGTTTTAATTACTTCTTGGCTATGTGATGCATAAAAAAATCAATAAGTCTAGGCATCATAGATGCCACAAACTCAGAATCAAAATATACCCTGTCAATACAAATATTGTTTTGTGCAGCGTCTGTCCAAACGACAAAGTCACACCAGCGCAGCGAAGATAAGGCTGCCCGTAAAATATCAAACTGTTCAAACTGTACTTACTTCGCTGAACTACCTAGATATGACGTCATAATAGAATATGACGTCAAGTCACTGCATACTTGAGCTGACATGACGGGGGAAGTGTCATAGTTATAACATGACAAGTAGATTAATTTTGGGGACTTGTTATTCAATTCAAGTGTAAGGATTGTTTTTTAAGCTCGAATTTGCTGTTATGATTTGAACATTTGTTTTTTAAATATACCTATTCCTTTTGATTGTCCGATATGCACATACTCAAACAATAGCAAAAATAATGTGTGATGCGCTCCCCTTACACGTCCATAGACAGAGTTAAAATTTATGAAGCGTGTTTATATTGGACTTGCACAAGTGATAAACAACGACAAATTGAAGATATTCTTGTGAATATACAAGAAAAGTATGTCCTCTAACTGGGTTTTGCTGGGGGATTGTGTGTAGTTTATCCATTTTTGTATAAATTGCGATAAAGAGTGGAAAATACCCCTTTTTATGTTGTTTAGTTGAATTTCTCGTAAAATATTTTTTAACCGAGTAAAAATTTAACCTGCCCCCAGCATTTTCTGTGTACTAGAATTCGCGATGAATTGATCTGTGTAACAAACTTTGCACAATATTTTTGTTTTGCACTTGTGCCGAAGCGATTTATGTGCAATAATTAGGAATATCATAAATCTCCGTCACGTGATCAACACAGTCATGTGACATCACAAAAATGCTGTAAAATAAAACCTGACTAAACTATTATTTCAAGTTGACTGCAATTTCAAACAAGGAGTACATATTAAAATTAAAATCTAGCTCGGAATAAAATGTATATTTTCAAGGCGTTTTAAGCCTTCGGACAGCCTTATCATAACTGCGAGGGATATCCTTTAATTGCCAATTCCCCTTGGACTTGTGCATAGTACTTGTGGCTCTTTTTGAGACGTGGCCCATCCAGACTTTCCTCCAGGCAAAAATTGGGGTATCCCATGGCAATAATTTCACCCACTTCCTTCCTGGTTACTTGGGTTCCCTGGATGGAGTAGGGGCATTTAATTTCCAAGAGACCTATGTTGTCACCATCCAAAACCTTCCCATCACTGGAAGCACCCAAAAATGCATGATCTGCACACAAAGTGAGACCTGTATCTTCGACGGAAAAGTTGTCGTTAATGGCAGATTTCAGATTAACATAGTCAGATCGTGCCTGGGCTTCCTTTTCCTGTCCCCATTTAACAGCTGGTGGTAGAGCAGCATACCTAAAGAAATAAAACAGAACTTAATTTCTTTTAAAAAAAATTAGCTGAAAAGGGTATACAAACATTGGGAAACAAATGTATTTCACAAATTTATTTTGTGAGTGGCAAAAATTTGATAAGTACACTACATATGTTAAAGTGTGGTGATCAGTAAACTGACATGTCACATGCTAAAAACTAATTAAGTTTACATGTATAAGCTGCTGGTTAAATTCTGCAATGTTTTTTATTTTAATTTAAAGTTTATTATCCCCCTGTTTACTATTATGATATTTTGCTTTCAGGATTATGATTTTCCTGTAGAAATTTACATTACAATTAAAATACAAAGTTATATAACTAATAATCCCTGTAGTCCCATTTGGGGTAAACATTAATATTCAGAACCAAATGAACAATTTCTTACATCACAAGTTCAGAATACATTAGTACATGTATAGAATTACCATTGAGAATACAACTTACTTATGAAGACTGGAACCCTCCACAATTTGCTTGATTAAAGAATTTGGATTGGGTCCAGCTTTCAAAACGTCACCGAACAAAGAACTAGTCAGTCGACCAATGTGTAGTTTCTGCCACATGTCAGATGTTCTCTGATCTCTTGTACTCTTCTCAGTGAACTCTACCAATTCATGGTCAATTTCAAATGGAGGTGCTGAAATTTGAAAATGAATAAAGAACTTGATGAACATAAGGTGTAATACTTAAAAGAAGGTACAGATCAAATGTATACCATGTCACTGTTCAAAAATGTTTTAAGATGCTTTTTTTAGAATCAACATTATTAACAAATTTCCTTACCATTACCCTCACAGAAGATGAGACTTTTCATCCTGGTAATCATGATATCCTCAAAATCCTGGACCTCCATCTCCTGAATAGCATCTGGGACAGCATCAGGAATATTCCATAAGTGTGACATACCTTAAACAACAAATGCATAAAGTTTCTTTAAAATGAGGCCCAATAAAGAGACAAAATTTTTTTAATTAAAATGTAATGATAAAATTTAAAAGAAGAGGTAATTACAACCGTTACACTTTAAACGTGTGTTTAAATTAAAATGTGATATGACATATCCAGTAACAAGTGGATTTAACGTACCCTTCTCAACCGCAAAACAAGGGCTGACAATTGTTACCATACAATTTGTACATGTTTTAGGGAAAATCTTAAGAAATGTGTTTCATAAAAACAAAACCAAACCGCAATATGCAATATTGGATTTTTTAAAATCTTCAGGCATGATGGGGCGAGGGGTGTATGTTAGATTTCTCTGATTCTCTGACCTATCTGCAGAACTGTAGCTCTCCGAAAAAAAATATATTGGCAGACTGGAGAGCTACAATGCCACCCGTAGAAAAAACTGTATATTTATTGCGCACATAAAATAATAATCATTGCGTATTTTTATTATTAATAAGCATTCCCTCACTGAGTCTTTCACCACGCTCATCCGTTTCAGTATCACCTATATATGTAATATACAAAAAAGTTTTTTTTTCATGATACACACGAATATGTATGTGTGTATACATATTACATTATGTTTACTATCACTACAAAAAAAAGAGGAATAAACAAACAAAAGTAAAAATTACAATGTTTCTTTATGAATGTTATAAAGCTGATTATTATTCAAATAGATTGTCTAACAATAGCCATCTCTTTTTGAACTTGGTGTCTTCCATATATTTAATGCAAGCAAGTATTATTCAAAACTATAGTATTTACATATGTTATATTTTTAACTTCGTTGAATATCAAAGGTTTACAATTTCTAGAATTTTGGTATACATGCTGTTTTACAAGCAAGATAATAACATTTGAAGATGTGCTTTCTTTGCGAGAAATACCATACATAACAGAAATTCGGTCTAAGTTAATATCATTTCCATTTTTTTTTGGTAAAATCCATTCTTCTAAACAATTACGTATTCCTTTAACAGAAAGAGCGTGAGTAATAAAAAGATGCTTCAAAGTTTCCTGCTCTAGATTACAGACAGAGCACAGTGGCTTATCTTTAATTTTAGATAAACACAATAAGGTACAAGTTCCATGAATCCTATGTATTATCTTACAGTTTTGAATCTTGACTTAAGTATTTTAAGTTTGAAAAAAGGTTTTTTTTCAGTTAAAGTCATTCTGCAAACCTAAATCTCTTGTCCATTTTGTAACTCATACAGGTTTGTTATAACGCTTATACTCCATTCATATGACATGATTTGCATTCCTCAGTATATTTTACACATGAGTAAATTTACTCACATGTGCAATTTTGAACTGATATACTCATATGCAAATTCTGCACAGTTGAGTAACGTCGAATATATAGCATTAATATAAGAAATAAATAATGCACAGGACGACAATAATGTCATTTTGCTTCAATTAAAGCTTATAAAAAGTTCTTCCATCGCAAATATGAAGAACTGTAGGTATAGGTTCTGCATTGTTTTACTTCGGCCCATTTTTTTTTCAAAATGGAAAGTCTAAGCCCTTCATAATTAGTAAATGGGATTAAAACATCACAATTAATGGAAATAGAATTAAAGGATAACAAATTACCTTCGGTATCCAATAGATCAGACACAATATGAAAACCATTTGCTTGTAATTGTTCGTAAAAACAGATTTACTTTGTACTCTGATACTACTGTTACATGTATCAAACAATAAAGGTTCTTTCATGATCTGAAGAATATTTTCAGGTTCAAATAAATTAATAAATTCTTTATAGTTAGAAAGAACTTATTTCCAAAACATGTTATTTGTTGTTTTACTAAAAAATAAGCCATATTCTGATCCAAACTGTAAATGTCTTTTTTTTAAATCAAATTTTTATTTTTATTTTGGTTGTATTGCCTGTTTTTTTTCCTTCCATAAATGTTTGCTTTCCAGGTAGAGACCGTATATATCAACCTCCCGATGCAAAAATGAGCAGAAATTTAAGTGATTTAATAAATGTTGGTTTTATCAAATGGCAATTGACTAAATTTAATAAAGCCACCATCATCCTAATTGAAAACTGTGCACTCTTAAAACTTCTTTTCAGACCCATCTAAAGATATCACTGTATTATCTGCAGATTGCAATAAGCAGACTGTTTCTATACAAATTTTTATACCCTTTATATTTTATTTGGTCTAATAAGGTGACCAATTATCTCGACACAAAGATTTAAAATGTATGGTGAGACAGGGTGTCATTGACGACACTCTCTACCTATGAAAAAGAATCTGGGAAAATACCATTCTGCAAAACACATACAATGAAGCGCATTGAAGTGGTAAAATTTTCCGTTCGAATGGAACGTTTTGAGCTATCTTTAGAACGTTTATTGTCATCTTATGACACGCCCATTTCTTTAGAAATGGATAAAATGGTCAATTTGTTTATTCGAATACCTGTGGCTCAGGTTTTCCATAAATATAATAGCCAATGAAATTGACGGTCTAAATAAATACCGAGTAAACACGTGTTCGACCGAAACATGTGTTGTGGTAACTTCAATAGATATGATAAGTTAAAAAATATGTTCATATTCGTTGCAATTTGTGTTTTGCAGAAGCGGAGAGTCTCAAACTCTCTCTTCTAATTTTTTTAAAGCTCCATTTCAGTGTAACTCATATTGCTTGTCGCGAAGAATGGGGTGTCTTAAAATATTACGCCGAATATTTCTTTCTCGTTTCTAAAAATATGGGCGTGTCATAATGTTGTAATTGACGTTCAAAACATGACTCAGAACGTTTCATCCAAAAGGAAAATTTTACCACTTCATGTGCTTCATTGTAATGTGGCATTTTTATATAAATCTTAAATCCATCTAATAATCACAGCCAAATTTAAGATATTCTTAAGTCTTGTACAATACATTTTCATATTTTTCAATGCAAGTGATGCTTCTTCCTTGGTTAACAGACCCTCTAATTTGGAAGCTGACTCCAGTGAATGTTGTCCTTAATTTGTAAATTATTTAAATTTATATCTAAACAAGTGTAATCACAGAAGGAGTATAGATTAAGATAAAAATTTTCAATTTCTTTAAGAAATTCTTGTTGCAAGTTTATTTTTAAACCGTTTCCATAAACAAATATTCTTACTGTGTTATCGATGTAATTTCTCTAGATCTTTTCTAGACTCAAGAAAAATATTTTAGGTTTCTCACCATATTCTACCCATTTAGCTTTTGTTCTTACAAACAGACCATTTATATGTTTTCTAACTTCTTCAAATTTAGATTTTGCAGTATAATGTTTTTCATCAGTTTTGTGAGAATCACTGAAATTTCTGATGATTTCTAATTCTTGTATTTCTTTTTCTAAAAGATTTTCTTCTCATTCTCTTTCCTATTTCTTTCTAGATTGATACTTTAGAGTGTTAATTCTTATCTCAAGAAGTAGCAGTTCTAGGGAATAATTAGTCATCAATTATAAAATTATTTTCTGTGTTTTCTATGTCCTTAATCATTACACGATTATATGGTGTAACTGCATACTGAAGTTTAATCCTATTTATTGTGTCTTTAAATAAACTTATATAGCTTTTATCTTTTAAGAGAGAGCTATTAATCTTCCAGAACCCTTTACCAATCTTAAACTCTGAAAATAAAATATGAAGTTCAATAATTGAGTGATGAGTTCAGTACCCAGACTTTATATCAATTTTATCATATCTTTGCATGTTGTTAGATAACCATTATTAGTCCCCTACCGGTGAAATTGGAGGGGACTATAGGTTTCATCTGCGTCTGTCTGTTCGTCCCCGTCTGTCTGTCTGTCAGTCTGTCCTACTTGGTTTTCTGCACTTTTTTTCTACACGCTTGCAGATATTGAGCTGAATTTTAGTATGTGAGTGTATCTTGATGAGTTACAGATCAAGATAAAATGTCGTTTCGCTTCATTGATTTTTGACAGAGTTATGGCATTTTTAATTTTTCATAATGGTTTAAGATCAAGTTTGTGCTGCGCTGAATTTCGATGGTCAACATGGTAAATACATGTATATGAAGCGAAAAAAGACGTTGAAAAAATGAGTTAAATTTTTGACTTTGTTTGGATTATTTTATTAGGTTAAAGGCATTCACAACCTCAAAATTAAGCAGTTTTACCTTGGTCATAACTTTTGCATATTATAAAATGACAACTATAGTTACTATACATGTGGGTCACTGTACATATATATACTTGTATAATATATTATGGGATGCATAAAGTGAGTTTACATACATACCAATCTGAGATTCACTATATTTAAATGCGCATACTGTAAAAACCTATTGTTTGTGGGTCACTATATATATGCCTATACTGAAATATGGGATATATATATTGCACAAGGTTTTAACTAAATAAATTGTTTGTCACTGAATTTATGTTTATGTATAATAATTTGTTTTATAAATATATTTCATGTGATTTAAACTGACTGCGGGCCACTGTATAATTATGCATATGAAGAATTGAGGGGGTTGGTGTGATGAAGTGATTGTACCTGAGTTTGTGGGTCACTGTATATATACATGTAGGTATATAATGGATGTGGGATAAATATATTGAACGTGGTTTTCACTGATTGTTGGTCACTGTATATATGCATTTTGTGAAGTTTTGAATAATATATTGCACGTGATTTAATAGAAATTGTTCTCTACTTCTAAATATTTCCATTTCTAATTTTTCTCTCTGTGATAACTCTTTGAAAGTTAGCGGAAAAAATTTCTTGATAATTCTACCGGAATGTAAATGAGGCAGGTCAATAGGTCAGGAGCAAAGGAGGCCTAATATGCATGCAAATCTCGTGCGCATCTGTCTCTGAGTCTGACGCTAAGGAGGCCAAATATGCATGAAAATCTCGTGCAGCTGCCGTTATGTTTGATGTCAGTGGGCGAGAACTATTGAAATTGGTATTGGAATCCTTGTGTAGTTTAAATCTATGTTTGCATTTTTAAAGTCTAAATCTACAATTTTATTTCACAATGAAATGGAA